TCAGGCTGGGGACATGGGGTTTCTCTGGTTCCTGGGTTTCTGGCTCAGGGTTTGGCATACCTAAGAGATCTTCCCTGTCTGGAAGAATTTCCTTCTGGATGAAGCCAGTATTGTTTGGGTGCTCTTGATGATCTCTGAGGTACTTCCAAGGCCACCCTCCTGAAATGTGGTACTTATAATGGGGAGTTCCCTGTGGATTGCTATAGCCAAATCAGATTGTGTGGCTGCAAGGGCACTTATCCTGGAAAAAAAAAAGTTACCATGTGAATAAGACCTTATTATTACACTGTGTATTTCAAGTTAATCAGTTATAACCTTTATGATTCCCTATGATAACCCTATGATTCTATGAAAAATAGACTCGAAAGGTATATGCCAATAGGAAACTTAATATGTAAAACCAATTTTGTTACAGATTTTAAGCTGAATTCTGTATCTCATCTTATATGAGAGAATGATTTTCGGCAAAAGGAGATTTAATGGCAAATGTATCAGTCTGACTTTGGGCTTTTAACTAGAGAGGTCAGAAAGGTCTACAGATGGGCATCAGTTACTAAAAGCCAGCCAGTAGCTGGTACCATCTTCAAAAACCAGTAGTTTCTTCCTAAAGGTTTTAAAATTATATGAAAACAAGATGCAATTTCTATCACAAAACTTAAACTGTTAAAGAATATTGCTGTTATTAAATTGAGTTCTCTGTACAGCACACAGCTGGATTTGGATAACTTGTGTGTCTTGCAGTCTGCATCTTCTTTCAGAAATAGGAATTGTATGGATGACTTGCAAATCCAGCCAACATCAGGATTTGGGCAATTACTGGATTAATGAAGAGGGTGGCATGATGCCTCCTGACCCATGTAGTTTACAGATTTCCGCCAAAACAGCTTCATATACTCGGTGTGAGCTTTATCAAACTTTCCTTACTAAACTTCTCAGGCTCTGGATTTAAATAACTGTCAATAGCTGCTGAAAATTGACTTTCACCCTGATGGTGGTGTGAGCTGCTGACTGAAACTTCGAAGAAAAAACGTTTTTGGACTAATTTTAGCCCATTTTTGTCCTTTAATTTTTTAAAACTTGGGTTTAACATCTGCACAAGTTTTGGAGGTAATCTTAAACATTTTATTCTATCCTATTTCTTTGATATACATGTATATTGAGATGTAGAATGTGTACCAGACCCCTTATATATATTGAGATGTAGATTGTGTATCATACCCCCACATGAATCTGTGTGCATGAGAGCTCTAAAGACATACTGTTTGTCCCAGAATTCAGTAGCAAAACACTCTTTTGTAATCTTACATCTCCTTCTTTTTTTCTTACAGAGAAATGGAATGCCCGAATTACAGACTTGAGAAAGCAAGTTGAAGAATTATTTGAAAAGAAATATGGTATGTGTTAAACTACTTTCCAAACAATAGCCTCTAGCCCTTTGACAGTGGAAGGTATCATCTTTTTGGCATGCATCTTGTTGTTGGCTCTGGAACAAATCAGAACTGATAGCACCAAAGGGTTTAATATCATAAGAGATTTATAGTTGGGGAAAATAGCTCTTTATGAAAACTTTGGCCAGGATTTTCAAACTTGGGTGCCTAACACTAGGCATCTAAGAATGTAACATTAGTCTTCAATCATGCAGAACTTCCTGATCTCCAATAAACTCTAATCTTGGGCATCCCCATTTGAAAGTTGTGTCCTTTACTTTGATCTTACTAGCAACAAATCAAGTACTTACCTAATATAATATTTAGACCTGTTGCTTGGGAGAAGGACCCTATGGTAATTTGTTTGGTTGGTTTTATGGATGGCAGATGATTTTTTTAAAGGAAGCAACAGTTACGTGCTTCATAAAAGGAGAAGGGAGCACGTGTGTCCAAATGTGAGGCTAATTGTCCTGTGTTGCGGTCAGAATAATATCTGTATCTGTACAAGAGAAATGATCAATTTTATTTATTGAGTACAAGATTATTTATCTTTAAAGTAGATTTTTTTGCTATTTACTGTTAAAAGTGGTAGTGTCTTTTTGAATATAATTCAAAACAGGAGTCTTGGCCACTTAGTCATTAAATATCCCAGACCAAATTCTCAGCTGCAGTAAATCTGCATAGCAGCATTGGACTAAGTGTAATGGCTAGCATATTGACCTGATGTCAGTGGTGCTACACAGACACAAATCAGTTGAGAATCTAGTTTATAATATCAGTAGCACGACCTAACTTTGAATTGAGTGGATGCATTTATCTTTCTTGATGAAAGTTTCCTATAGTTTCAAAGTCTCAAGTTTCAATTAGTGAAGAACACTCCTGCAACCATCTATCTGAATTGGTACTTGAGGTTATGGTGCATGCTTTACAATCTGCCACCTTATGTTCTAGAAGTAGCTGCATTTTAGTGAAGAGTAAAGCAATCCTGTATTCAGAGTCAAATTCTGTCCTCCTGTATTGCAGTCTACTCCTGTGCCTATCCTTTGTAATATTACTCGGGGGTTTTAGATAAACAATGCTTTACAAATGTCAGTCATTATTATTTACTACTGACACTTTGAGTATTATTTTTTGTATTTGGATGTAAAGTAAATGTACAAATGTATTAGTGTGAGCACAATTCCTTAGCTGGTGAACATGGATTAATCTGAAAAGTGAAAATCTAGTTACAGTAGAATTTGAATGTCAAAACTTGTAAGACTCCAAATTGAAACGCTTCACTGCAGACTGTACTGCTGATTATGTCTTTGCGCTGTCTGGAGATAAGAGAATCTGCTAAACATTTTATTAAGAAAAATAAAGATTTCCTCTTTGTAAAAACTTACCTGTTGTTAGTTATTTATTTAAATAGCATTCTCATTATTATTTTAAAGCTGTTTTTTGGTCGATGTTTTGTAGTGATCTAAATGTGCCATTTCCAAAAAATTTCTCCAGGTGGATCTTTCTCATGTATATAGTGTTCCGTTCCAGTTTGGGCCTATATATACACCGGTGTTGAAACCATGTTAGCAATAATTGTCTTTAACCTAGACTATATTCACACAGTTTTCTACCATTTTGTAACCATATGCACTTCAGAATAGAGGACTAACAATATTTTCCAAAGTTTTGTCCTTTGTGTAACTTGCATATTGGGCTGCGAAATAATACTAATACATTTCTTTCAAAATAGGAGTTTAAATAAGGCATACTAAATGCCCTTAAATACTAGATTGGCTCCTCCCCATAAACTAGATGTGATTAAACATTGGTGTACAGCTAACCTGAAGGTTTTGAATACAATCTTTGTGTGACTAGCTGCCTCCACGTTGAATTGTGTCACTTGAGAAAGTGCCCTGGCTGCCATACACTTTCAGAAGCCATTAACATATCTGAGATTACTCTGACTTGGCCTCCACTCAGATTGCTGCACTTCTAGCTGATTTTAATAAGATCACTTATTGGGCCTCATCCTGATTCCACTGGAATCCCTGACAAAACTCCAATTAACTTTAAAGGGATCAGGATCAGGCCTACTTACTACATGAAAGCTCACTACTGAGTTTTCTGCGATATGTAGGCAATACAAGAAGTTAGGGAATGAGTTACAGACACTACATGGCGTTCTGCCTTCATGAACCCTGTTCTTCTAAGATACGATGTATCAGTATAGAATGTCTGAAGCATCCTGTCTTGAAATACATAACTGAAACCAGTTAAGTTTGTAGTGTCATTGTTAACTCTAAATTTCCCTGAGAAGCCTCATGGTTTATCTTGCAGTATAGATGGTATTTTAGAAGGATGGTTTCTTTGGTGCATTACTGTCTGCCATCATATACATCATTTCAGTCAGTGAGTTGTATATGCACTTACCCCAAGGCAGATTTTGGTCCATTAAAATACTTCATCCTTAGTTAACCTTGCTTCTCGTTTTCATAGCTAAACTTCAAACAACAAAATACACTACCACATAGCTTGATTGGTACTTGTTGTTTGTACCCTTCCCAGTACAAGGAAACTAGCCCTGCTGGTATGTACAAACCATCACATTATAGTCCAGTATTTACCAGTGCATGCCAATGGATTAATGTCGTCCTTCTTGTAAAAGCATACTGAGGTTATTGTCAGAATTGTGCTGCCAGTGAATGAGCTATTGGCTTTTTACCTTTGAAGACTGGTTGTTTTGAGGACCACATTTTTGTTCCTGGCCTTGTACAAAATGCATTGTTTGCTCTGTTTGTCAGTACCTTAACTACTGAAATAAAGTAGATCTTCATGAAGTCCTCCTAAAGATTGGAAGCCCATTATAAATTACTGAATTTCTATTACAGGTTGGACCTCCTTGGTCCGGCACCCTTGGTACCTGAGTGGTCCCGAACTAGGGCATTTGCCAGATCAGGGGAGGTCAGGCCTCAGTCTCTCCTGATGCTCCCCTCATGGCCACAGCTCCAGCCACAGAGCTACCCCAGCATGCCTGCTAAGCTCTGCTGCCCCCAGCCTGCTGGTGGGATGACTCTATGGATGGCAGGCCCCAATCTGTGCGATGGGGCTCCCTGCCCCTGGCCAAACATCTTTCTGGGCCACTGCCCATCTCCAGCTGTCAGCGCTCCATAATAGGGATGTTAAGGACTAGGATAGTTAACTAGTCACACACACACACCCCCCCCCGCCGCTTATCAGATAGCGGCGGGAAAAGAGAGGTCCTTCAAAAAGGCAACGCTGCACAGAACCCAGTGTCACGAGCTCCGTACAGCGCTGCTGCTTTGAAACACCTCTGCATTTCAAAGGGGCAGCGCCACATGGATCCCGGTATCAGCTGTGCTGCGCCGCCTTATCGACTATCGACCATGTAGGCTGCCAGCCAGGAGCCACCTCTGCAGCTGGTGCTCTCTAGTGTTGCAACATCCAGGGTCCATGTGGACAGTCCCAGACCAGTGATGAAAACTTTGTTTGCAGTTGTTTGGATTATTTAATACTCTACAAGGTACTAGAAGATGAAACCAAAGTAAAATGAAACCTTGCTTTTAACAGGTGCAGTGTTTGCTACAAAATTTTTACTGAGAAATGGGGAAAAAGGAAAACAGGATGTGTGAGAGAGAGAATTGGAGAAGTTCCTACTATAAATAAAGCATAGAATGATTAGGCATTTAGAGGGTGTAATAAGCATTTGTTACCTGTTTATCTGCTTGTACTTATATTGTTCAGCTTAGTGCCAAGCAAGTAGGTTAGCTAAGGTGATGAGCTATGCTAACGCTTTTATTTTCCTTTCATCTTAAAGCTCAAGCTATAAAAGCGAAAGGTCCAGTATCTATCCCGTACCCGCTTTTCCAGTCACACGTAGAAGACTTGTATGTGGAAGGACTTCCAGAAGGAATTCCGTTCAGAAGGCCATCTACCTATGGGATCCCACGCCTGGAGAGGATACTACTAGCCAAGGAACGGATACGCTTTGTGATTAAGAAGTAAGGAGCTTTGCATTTATTTTCACACTATTACATGTTCCTTTCATCAAACTGTGTACATGTGATTTGACAAGTAAATTCCCAAGCAGTATGGTATGTTGGCTGTTGCTAGAGAAAAGAAGTTTAATTTAGCAAATTCTTGTGGTTTGTTTAATTAGTTAACTAGATTTAGAATCTATCACCCAAGTATACAGCATAGAATGTTGCAGTAAGAGAAATTTAGAGTTGTCAGTTTACACTGGGTGTCATTTTCTTCTTTTATATTACATAATACATGGCTCCTTCTTTTGGAACATCATGGCCACAGACTATAATGGTGTTACTCCAGCATAACTCAGTTTTCCCATAGGAACCCCATCCTATACATGTTTTCTCAAAACACAGAAGTGCCAGTGAGTTCATTGGGGCTTACTCAAAAATTAAGTGTACTCTTAAGGACATTCAGTCTTAGGGTTTTTTTTGTATTTTTAGAATCTGATCTGCATTCTTACTGAAAAACATGTAAATGATTAACTGAATAACAGAGTGAAAAGAAAAACTATTGAAAATCATTTTTGAATTTTGTTTCAGGATCCCATTTACCCATAAGAGACTTTGAAGTCATTGCAGATAGACAGTGTCATCTGTTGGTACTTTTAGCAGCCATGCTGCAAATAAATATATTTCAGACAACAAAGAAACAGTAGTAGGCAAGAGATTTCAGTTAGTGAGTTACCACTATGGATAGGTTCGTAATGAGGGCTGGCAAATATCAAGAAAACAGCATAGATTTCTCAGTTCATTTATGCAGCAAATTCTCCTTTTCACATTGTTAACAATAAACACTTCATTGATGTGGTTGAGTCCTTAAAACCAGTTTACACTCCACTGGAAAAAAACTCTTCCAAGCAAGATTTTCATTTTTATATATTACTATCTTTCAACCTGCTTAAATTGAAGTACAGCAGTTCTGTTACCTTTCCACTACTTTTCTTGTATGTAAAAGCTAGAGCTGAGCTGGAGAACCAATATTTTTCTCTCAGCAGCTTGTAAGGTGTGAAAATCTTTTTTTTTTCTTTCTTTTATTCCACAGTGGAAGAAAAACAAAAATAAATAAATAAATAAAAACGAACTTTCTTGAACATTTTTCTAAATGAAATTGTATTGACTTACATTGTAAGCCCCTTGGAGCAGGGACCTTCTTTTTCTTCTGTGTTCATACAGTGCTTGGCACGCTGTGGTGCCGGTCAAAGATTAGGGCACTTAGGTGCTACGGTAATATAAATAATAAGATTGAAAAATCAAAAAGGTCAGGTTTTTAATTCAGCTCTGTATGCCTCTTTCTGTGAAGAGGATTGGAGAGTCCACCTTGGACATCAGAACTCTTTAAAATTTGTATGTGTCTGCAAAAAGTTTTTGCTTCAACAAAACAGCATGTATATCAGCCAAAAACAAACAAAGGCAAATTTTTCTGACAAGGTGTAAGAGTAGCCCTCAGTGTTAGCATTGATTATAACCAGAATTCTGGGATTCCTGAAGACAGCTGCTCTCTGAGTTACGAACGAGTTACGGACCAACACTTGGTCCGTAACTCAAACTGTTTGTAACTCGGATCCCATAGAGTTACATGGCGTCCACTTTGGTCGTAAGTGCGGATGGTCGTAAGTGGAGGTGGCCGTAAGTCGGGGAGCGGCTGTACTGTTTTAGTTCTGCAGTGGAGCTAACAGAATTTGCTTCAAAGCTGTGTGCGCTGTAACTTACAATTTGGTAAAAACATATCAAAAGGTATGTTAAATCTGCAGACTCTACATCTGTTAAAATTTTTCAGACATGAACTTTTGAATTCAACACGAGAAGATGCACCGCTGGATAAACCAGCTGCAGGAGGTAGGACTTTGAAATGTTTGGGTTGTCTAATGGCAGTATGATTGAAAGTCTTTTGTTGATAGATACAAAGTGGTATTCATTTCATGTCCTCCCTGTCCTATTGCAATTTCTATTTTAGTATGATGGATTACAAAGTAGGGATGTGAACATGCACCATTTACATGGTTAACCCATGAGCCTGGGCTCACTGGTTAACCCTCAGGGTTACATGCAGCTGCCCTTCTCCCTGCTTCTGTATCAGAGGCAGCGGGGAGGGAGGAGGTGGGAGCCAATACATGTGGGGATCCAGTTTTTAAGCCAACTCCCTACATGTGCTGACCCCTACAGAGAAAACCCTCTTTTCTCCCCCTCCCCCGGTATACGTGCACAGAGACAGTAGCGTGGGGCAGGGGATGCAGGAGCTGGTCCCGTAGAGCTGTCTTCCCCCCTGCGCTGCTGCCTCTGATACAAAAGCTGGCTCCCTGTGAGCACCGGTTCCCACCTTTTCCTCCTGTCCCCCTATCACGTGTAAACATGTAACTGCTACACATTTGCTGTAGGGATGTTAAAATACACTTACCGTATATACTCGAGTATAAGCCGAGTTTTTCAGCACATTTTTTGTGCTGAAAAATGCCCCCCTCGGCTTATACTCGAGTCAGCGTCTCGAGAACTGAGGAAAGTGTGTACTCTGGTCAGGTTCTAAGGCATCCAGGTTGTCGTATCTGTCAGGAGGTGTTATTGTTATGGACTGCGCTGTAAATTCATCATCAAAGTATCTCGTGTCAATTTCTGAGGTCTGAAAGCTCTATGTATGTGCGATGAACAGCGCACATACATAGGCTTGTTGGCTGCACAGTGACTGCCAGTGATTGGCTTGTCACTGTGCTGTGGGCAGGGGGCGGGTCCGGAGGCAGAAGCGCGGCTCGGCGCAGGCTGAAGAGAAGAGATAAGGTAAGGGGCCTGAATGGAAAGGATAAAATCCTTATGGAAAGCAGGATCTGCTCAGGGATTGTGGAAATATTTTATCTCTTAAGCACTTGCACTGAATTTGTCCTAAAAGGTAAAACCCTGCATGTAAAGTTTATTGTCCAGTGAGATCTATTAGATGATCATTAATTAATATACAATCTCTCTCAACTTATGACGCTGAGCTGTATACTCCTTACACAATATGTGGAATACAGGGGATGGAGTGGGTGGATTCTATAAGGAGTGGGGCTTATGAGAAGTAAGAGGGGTCAAAAAGGAGGGACGGGGCCTGGCGCCCCCCCATCCTAAAAATTCTTTTTTTTATCCTGTTAGAAATGGATCCCAATATCGGTACTTCTAATCCTGGACCAAAACAAAAACGCAGGTCATACGAAGCTGGTTTAAAACTTAAGGTTGTGTCAAGAGCAGAAGAAAGCAATAACAGTATTGCAAGTAGGGAATTTAGTGTTGACGAAAAACAAGTAAGGGAGTGGCGGAAAATGAAAGCTGACTTGGAAAAGATTCCAAAGGCAAAAAAAGCTCGACGTGGTTTAACGACTTCATATGGGGCTCTAGAGACTGAATTGCATAAATGGGTTATGGAGTGTCGTCAAAATGGTTACTGTGTAACACGCATGGGAATTCGCTTACGTGCCCTTCAAATGGCTAAAGATGACAAATTTAAAGCACCAGGCACTGAAAATTTTGTTGCATCAGCAGGATGGTGTACCCGCTTCATGAATAGGTTTGCCCTATGTTTGCGGCAAAGAACGAAGATTTCACAGAAGCTGCCAAAAGACCTTGATGAAAAAGTGGTGTCATTCCATTCATTCATCATAAAACAAAGAAGGATCCATAACTATGACCTGGGAGATATTGGGAATATGGATGAAACGCCTATGACCTTTGATCTTCCAAGCAACAGAACTGTGGCAAGTTTGGGAGACAAAACTATTTTACTAAGAACCACAGGAAATGAAAAAAACCATTTCACAGTCGTTCTGTCATGTTTGGCTAATGGAACTAAGCTGCGGCCTGTCATTATTTTTAAAAGAAAGACCTTGCCTAAAAAGGTCAAATTCCCACCACGAATTATAGTGCGTGCACATATTAAAGGCTGGATGGATGAAGACAGAACAAAAAAATGGCTGGAAGAAATTTGGAACGGACGACCAGGAGCAACCTTAAAGAAAAAAACCATCATTGCTAGTTTGGGATATGTTCAGAGCCCACACATCTGATGACATAAAAAAATTGGCAAAGTCTTCTCAAGTTACTTTGGCAGTTATTCCAGGTGGGCTTACATCTGTATTGCAGCCCCTAGATGTGTGTTTAAATAAACCTTTCAAAGACCGTGTGCGAAAGATGTGGCATGAATGGATGTCATCTGGTCAAGCTCGACTGACAAAAGTTGGAAATCTGAGGAAGCCAGACATAGAATTGATAGCACAGTGGGTTCGTGATGCATGGGAAGAGATTCCAGAGGACCTGGTGCAACGCGCCTTCAAGAAATGTGGCATTAGTAATGCTATGGATGGCAGTGAAGACAGCGCTTTGTATGAGAACGACAGCAGTGATGGTGATGACTGTGAACTCAGTGATGATGACAATGTCTATGCTGATAACCTCACACCAGCTGAAGCTCTGTTTGGACATACAGATGATGAGGAGGAGAACTCCAGTTTTGAAGGATTTTAGCTCTTGTGTGTTAGCTTGGTTGCTGATTGAGCTAAGGTTGTTGTACTTTTAAAGTTACGGTATTTTTGATACCATATTGTTTTTGTTGACCCCCTTTTCCACTTACAGAGCTAGGTTATTGTTTTTCTTTGAAATAAATATTCATGTAATTTTATTGGTATCTATCTTCATTTTTTACATTTACCAGTAGCTGCCTCATTTCCTACCCTAGGCTTATACTCGAGTCAATATTTTTTCCCAGTCCTTTGCGGTAAAATTAGGTGCCTCGGCTTATATTCGGGTCGGCTTATACTCGAGTATGTACGGGGTAACTTTTTTGTAAAGATACCTTTTTGGTTTTTGGAAAAAAAGTTTTTCAAAAATATAGGCATTTTCAGAAAATAAATGAAAAGCCTGGTTTCCTGGAAATACGTTGCAAATAGTTAGCTTTGTTCTGACATTTGTTTCGCTCTCAACTTCACATCTCAATCCACAGTGAAACTGACAGAGAGAGTAAATCTTAACAGCTAAGATGCAGAGATCCTGATTTGCAAGAAATAATGTTTGCTTACATTGTATCTTTACACTACTGCTGGGCTGGAAATACTGTTGTCAAGCCTGAAAAATTAGAACAATACTTTTCAGGGGTTTGAAAAACTCACTATTAGGATAGTCTGTCAAATGATGATTTTGATACTGAAGGCTTAGATGGGCTTAAAAATCAAAATCCTTGATAATGTACTACATCAAAATTTGTGAAATTGGAATAGTCTAAAATGCTGGGTATCCATTTATGCCATATCCATAATGGTAAATGTATTTACAAGGTAGTGTGTGTGTGTGTGTGTGTGTGTGTGTGTGTGTGTGTGTGTTAACCTTCTTTGTAAAGTGCTTTGAGATCTACCTATGAAACCACTAAAGAAGTGCTAGATTATATTACTATATTTAGAAACAATAAAGTGGTCCAGAAAGATGCATTTATGAACCTGAATTTAACCAGATGTGTTGCACAAAAGAGATGAATGGCTAAACTGGCCATCCAGCTTTATTCACTTTAAGGAATATTGTGCTTTTAAGACTCTTACTGAGTTAACCTGTCAGATTTAATTGGTCACACAGAGGCTATGTCTAGACTAGCCAGTTTCCGGAAAATCTTGCCAGCTGTCTACACTGGCCACTTGAATTGCTGCAAAAGCACTGACTTCCTACTGTAAGAAACCAGTGCTTCTTCGTCGAGTAGTGTCCCCGAGGGTGCTCCACTCGAGGTGCTGGGTCCGTCCCGGCGCCGCAAAACAGAGAAACTTCTATAGCAGTAGCCTGCCGGCCCTCATATGCGCTCCTATTGCCTCGCGCCATTATGCTGAGCGTGGGCCAACTTGTCAGTTTCCTTAAACCGTCCGTGGCCGCAGACAGATCTAGGATGAGCTCCCTCTCCGCCTGAGGAGAAAAGGGAGACTTTTCCTTAGAAACCTATTACGAGACAATTTAGAGTTAGGGTAGTTGTTACTAGTTGTTAATAGTATTACTAGTTAGTTCTCAGGTTTTGTTTCGTTCTAGTTTATAGTCTATTAGTAGGCTTAAATTTTTTTGAGCGTGGGCCAACTTGTCAGTTTCCTTAAACCGTCCGTGGCCGCAGACAGATCTAGGATGAGCTCCCTCTCCGCCTGAGGAGAAAAGGGAGACTTTTCCTTAGAAACCTATTACGAGACAATTTAGAGTTAGGGTAGTTGTTACTAGTTGTTAATAGTATTACTAGTTAGTTCTCAGGTTTTCTTTCTTTCTAGTTTATAATCTATTAGTAGCCTTAAAAAAACTGTTTTATTATTATCTGATAACATGCCTGGCTTCAAGAAATGTTCCCAATGCCAGGAGGCAATGCCTGACACAGACGGGCACTCGCAATGTGTTAAATGTTTAGGGGATGGGCACATCCCGTTGAAGTGCCCTCACTGCATGAAATTGACAGCTCACGCTCGGCGCGATAGGGAAATGCGACTAAGGGTGATTTTGTTTAACAAAGCCCTTCAGTCTGATACACCGTCTCCCGCTGTCTCGGGAGCACACCTGCCTCGCTTGCCCGCGAAGGAGCTCCACAAAACCACCGGACTACCGCACCGCAGGAGTGTGCCGGACACACCGGGTACCTCTGGCTTTGTGCCGAGGCACCGGCAGAGAAGACGGGCAAGGGCCGTAGTGCCTCAGCCCCGGCTTTGGCGAGCGCTAAAGACCCGATGCGGGCTCCTGCTAAAGGATCGCGGGCGCAATCGGCACTGACAGTGGCCCCAACAGCCGAGTTGCAGCGGATAATGGCGGGCCCCGGGCCGGCCGGTGTGTCCCACACGCGGCCCCACACA